ACATCAGTACTAAGTACTAAGTACTTCCACAATCAGTTAGTTAAAGTCATACCTTAGTAAAATCTACTTTGATGAACGAATCAAAACGGGACTGTAGACATTAAGTTTTACACATTCAAATGTGGCTGCACTAGCGCTAATGGAGCGACCACTACGTACGGGAAGGAACGGATCTTAGCGAAGCCGAGATTTGTGAACCAAACCCAACCCATCGAAGACGGGCCGCCAAAACATAAAAATGGAGGGAAATGACAGACAACAAGCCAACAAAGACAACATCACCAGACCAACAAACTTGGAAAACACCACTTCAAGCGCTAACGTTGTAAGAACTGTGGAACCTCAAACTAGTATGTTTGCGTCAGCGGAAAGGCTGTCGAAGTAACCACTACATGAAAAACTGCGGCGAAAAAGTAACATGGGTTCGTCCCAAATCTAGACGCAAGTGAGCTACAAAAGTAAAGAACCTATGCATCTTGCTTGTTGCTGTCAACTTACCCGTTAAAGATTGAACCGATACATGTACGTACTATAACTTGCCATACCCGGCCAAAGACGACTACATTACTGTTACTCTTTATTTTGTGCTGTATAATGTATATGCGTTACATTATCTATCATTGTCATTTCTGTGAATTCCTTAAAACATCTACTGTTAGTTTGTGTAACATTACGTAGTGCTACAATCTGCGTAAAAAGTGGGCTTCATTACGTGTTATCTGCTATTTCGTGTTGGTATTGAAAACTGTTTTATTTTGCCGTTCTTCTACAAACAGCCAGCAGAATTATGAAGATACTCGTTCTCAATATTGCAATGCAGTACACATGCTGCAAACTAAAGTAATGGCAGTCCTACGAAAATTCTGTTTGTAATGTATAAGCGCTTTATGTCGACGTACAATAGGTGTGAAATACATGTTTTCGCCCATCGTGTGCCACCGGCTCGGTGGTAATTGGATACTTTACAAGTGAAAGAACCGCGTCCGTGGGCCTTGATAAATTATTCAAATTATTCAGCAGCCCTCTGATTGGTCACCGCTAGAAATTTACTGGATGTCATTCAGTGACGAGCCCCCCCACCCCCAAACCCAAACCTCTGCTTGGAGAGTAAATACGTACTACGTACATGTATAGCAAGAGCTTATGGCAGAGTAGGTCTTTCACCTGGTGACAAGAGTTCATTGACCCGCAACGACCTATTTTTCACCCCATTACTTAGGACTTAAATCCATATGGACAAAGTTCGCGTCATTCTACAAAACGCACCAAATTTCACAATGTTATTCTTCGCATAAAGTTGGTAGCTATTGGTGTCAAAATTCCATTGCATAATATTACTACAGTGTATGTGCCTCTCCAGAACTGCGTTTTATATAGGGTTATATGAAAGATAAGGTTGGCAAGTAGAACCCATCAAACACAAATGTTCTCCTTCCCATATGGTATTGACCGATACCATACTTTGGCCCTGACGTAACCGCCACACCGCCCGGTAGGGTGGCGGCGGTGGTTCCTTTGATGTCTGCCGGTTGTGTCCGGTTCGTGCCACTTCAAACAGCATTTAGACGCTATCAAAACGGACGGCTTCCCGTCAGTCAGCTGGTGGGTACATTACCGGTCATAATCGTTCAAACACCTTTCTCACGATGACACACATTTCCACATGCCTGTTTAGTCCCTATACCATGCCGCTATACAGTACTGTGCGACTTAGAGCCAGAGTTCCCGCCGATCTGTGTAGCACAGGTGGAGAAAGCGAGAGACGTAACCATGGTAACCTCCTCACCTCCGTTAGCCGTAACCATGGGAACCCATTCGTAACCATGGGAACCCAGACGTTGCCACGGGAACCTTGTAGAACAGGTACAGGTACGGGAAGCACCAGACGCAACCACGCTAACCTACTCACCTCTGTCGTTACCATGGGAACCAAGCTGTAACCATGGGAACCGTATCACCGCCGCCATTCTATTGTACCACAAGTATGGGAATCGCCAGACGTAACTATGGTGATATACTCATCCCCGTAACTATGAGGACCCAACTGTTACCATGAGAACAAAATCACCTGTAACCATGGGAATCCAGCTGTAACCATGGGAACCCAGCTGTAACCATGGGAACCGACTCACCTGTAACCATGGGACCCCAGCTGTAACCATGGGAACCGACTCACCTGTAACCATGGGACCCCAGCTGTAACCATGGGAACCGACTCACCTGTAACCATGGGAACCCAGCTGTAACCATGGGAACCGACTCTCCTGTAACCATGACAACCCAGCTGTAACCATGGGAACCGACTCACCTCCGCCGTTCTTGTAACACAGGTACGGGAAGCGCCAGACGTTTCCCAGTCCCACGGCGTAACTGATACAGGACAGCAGGAAGTCCAGTTTCCCGGTCCACTCTGGACGCTCTTCGCCATTATCTTCTCCCGCTTCTTTGGCCTGAAAAAAAATCGGATATGATTCATCAAGTAAGACAAGAATCTGCAGTTAGAAATGAAGTTGCTTGGGGTCCCAAAGTTCGATCACTGCTTCCTTCAGCGGTCGAGGTTTATCCATGAACAACAAAATTGTAGAAATCCACGCAAACATTTTCGTGTTGCCCTGCACATAAGGATTGAAAGAAGCAAACTTCAAAAAAAGAAGTCGCCCCTCCCCAAATAGCCTGGGTGCCAGACCCATAGCACACTGGACACAAAGAACTCACTGAGATACTTTGTGTCCAGTGTGCTATGGGTCTGGCACCCAGGCTACTCCCCAAAACGACACACAACAAATCAGACAGATACCGCTCGGAGCCGGGACTTCGTTCGTACGTAGTGTACGAAGTTTCTTCTAGCTTGTCTCTTCTCTTTGGGGCCCTATCATAGAAAAAATTCGACAGAATAATATTTACTACATAGTACAGAAAAACAAATCTCCCAGCGATGCGGGTGGCGATGTTGTAGTTTGTCTGCACTCATGCAGTACATTATAATATAATTACATTCACCAATAGAAAACCAACATGCCACTGTCGTGCTGTTGCGCTATCAGTTACAGCTCTCTCATGCGAGGTCCACCAATCACATCGCCACCTACGGCCAGGAGGCAACATGATTGGCTGGTAAATTTCACTCCAGCATCAGGAGGGGGAGAATCTGATTGGCTGATGGCTGACAAGCGCTAGACCAACTAGAACGGCGGGTCACAGGCAGGTACGACATGTGTGTTGCTTGACTGTACTGCAATTTGTCTATTCCTGGTACGATAATAGATGACCTCAAGTTCCCGTTGAGCTTAAAAGCAGTTTTGTTCAAACAAACCTCGCACTAAACGCGATGAATAAAAACAACGTAAAAACGTAAGGTATGCCGGAGCCGACCGTGGCGATCGTCAATAAACAAATCCGCAGCGAAAAGGCAGGACAAAACCCATGTGACGCAAGGGATCGCCCGGTATAGTTCTTTTGAACGGACGGAAATCTTGATCATATTCGAATTAAGAATATTTATTTCGTTTGGCAGAACTAAGAAGATTCGTGTTGACAAACGCTGTCATAGGAGACTTACGGCCGAGACGGCGGACGGTACAGGCTTCCAGGCGCTATGCACCTTTGACCCACCACTGGAGTCACGTGACTGGAGTGGTGGATCATTCTACCCGTGAGGACGAGCATAACATTATATTTATACATATTAGTTCTGACAAATTCTTGACATTAATAGTGTGATAATATTTCTGACAGATTCTTGACATTAATATTGTCATGATAGTATTGTGATATTTTGTGATACTTGGCTAAGTTTTTCAGTCACGCTCATGAGGCAATCGCTTTTCTTACTTTTTCAGCCCCAAATTACATTAGATTTGACGGTTCTGTTATAAGTTGCTATAACGTGACGATCCCTTAGGCGTGACGTGGTTACCATGGGGACCGGTGGTTACCATGGGGATCTGACTCCGATTGACAGCTAAGTTGTACGACGCCCTGGACGGGTCTAGGTACAGGCCTTGTCGTTTTTCCTGTTTAAAACGAGATAGAAGGGAGCGAACACTTTTAGAGGAAGGGTAGAAATCAGTAGATAACTGTTAGTAAGTCCAAAGCGTCCTATGGCCAACTTTAAAGTTTAATATTGATAAGTTTCTGTGGATAAGTTTGTAACACAAACTCTCACAGTCTAAGCTTTATCCTCTATTCTAGTCTAT